TTATTTTACAGGGACGACACTGATTTTTGCTTTGTATGTCTGTTTTTGAAAGCAACACACTATACTTTTATTTTTGTGCATATTTTATAATTGCATAGTCTTAATTTTCTTACTTAATTTCTAGCTCTGTAATCTTCAAATATGAAACAGAAACATATTAATACTAATTAAAAAAATAAAATCAGATGGTGCCACCATGTTAAGCAAAATATTGTTGAATGCTTTAAGTGTAATTAGCATTAGGTTAAAAAATCAAATTTCTAAGAATTCACGTTATAGTTTTCAAAAGTTTTTCAGATCGATTTCAGCATTTAATTTCTTTTGTTAAATATTTTTAAGGTAAAACTGTGCTACTAGAATAGAATTACATCCAGCATAAAGGATTATATATATAAATCAGGTGTCTTGATGTCAAGTATTCCTATTTACTTTCCTGATCAGTCGGATGTCTTATTTTACAATTTTTCCAAACAAAGTATATAACCTATGCACTTGACTGATAGGTTTTTCCATCTGTGTATGTGTGTATACTAATATAACAAAAATCTTACAATGCTATTAGTATTTTACTTTATAATTAACACCTACTTGTTTATTGTTTCACTTTTTGGTTTGCATAATTGTATAACTTGTTTTGTGTATGTTAACAATAGGAATTTCTTTAACCTGGTAATTTATTATATATTATAATTTGTGAAAATAACTTTTCTTATTCATATGAATATACTATATGTACAAAATTGAAAAAGAAACACTTGGCATTATTTCTGTGAAATTAGGTTTGATCTACAAGGATGTTAATATATTCTGTTTCACTGTTCATGCATTTTTGGCTCCAACATGAAACTTGTTTTATGAAATTGTTTTAATACTAGTTATTTTCTTCTAAGTATAAAAATATACCAGACTATCAAATAAAATTTCAAGTTATAAAATATGGAAAGAAAATATACATGTTAGAGACAAAACAAATTCTAATGTGTAAATCAACTAGTAGGTTTTGTTTATAACTTGAGTAATTACCAGTCATTGTGTCCAAACTGTGGTAGACTGAAGCCATCAGTAGAATTTTTAGAAACTACATGTTTCTTTATTATTAATGTTAATATGTTATTTGATGTTGAAATATTTCTATTGTTCCCAGGCCTTCTTCTTGGAGTCGAAACAGCCAGTGGCTTCTTGAGTCAGAAAACAATCAACTTAACCTAGTCCTATTAGGGTGTGGTGGTATAGCAGATGAATTGGCTAACACTATTAGGGTAAGAAGTTTTTTTTTTTTTTTATAGAGCTTTTGAAGATGTTTTAAGTATTAGTATTTGAGATAAGTTTTTCTTGACTTCTGAGAGGTTTAGCTCTCAAAAACTAAGTATAGTAAAATACTTGGTATAAATATACAGTTTTGTTCCATTGCAAAATATTTTATAAATACATACTTGTTTTTCAGGTATAGCTAGGTTTTTCACTATACAATCCTGATGGGACAAATATTCAAAATATATTGATAAGACGATCTAAAAATTAGATTAACGTAAACATTTATTTTATATATTATCTTATAAGTTGACTTCTGTTTATTTCTATTTCAGATTTTACTTGACTTTTCTTTTATCAAGGCTTAATACCAGATAATGTTTTAGCAAATTCCATTTTTCTTTTCTTGTCTAGTACCAGATGATGTTTTAGAAAGTTTCCTCTGTCAAAGCCTCTTATACAGATGTGTTAAGTGTGTTACAATTTTGATCCAACAAGAGTTATTATATAGATATTTTAACAGTTTTCCTCACTCCAGCCTGTTGTACAAGTGTATTGCAAGTTACATTTATCAAGACTTATTTAAATAGATAGTTAACAATTTCCATGTACTTAGACCTGTCTGCCTACATTTTTAACAATCTTCAGGCACATAAATTTATTTTATATATTGTTTGTTCCTCTATCTAAGCCTATTTCTTACATATTTTAACAATTTTCCCACATCTATATGTGTTAAAACAGTTCTGTTTTGTCATGGTCTATTTTTACAAATGATTTTGCAAATCTCTTGTATCTAAGCATTTAGTGCAGATGTTTTGAAAAGTTTTTTCTGTCCATGCTTATGGCACAGATGTTATAATAATAATAATAATTTCTTATATGTTCAAGTGACATTTTGATAATATTCTCCTATTTAGGCCTATTGTACAGATGATGTTTTTGAGATGGAAAAAGTGCGGTATACTTTAGATTTTAGAATAATTGATGGTGATGTTGGTTTGCCACACAACTCCTTTCGAACATCTGATTTTCTTCCACATGGTGAGTTGGTAATATTTCCAAAATTGTTTCTTGGTAATGTGTATGTGTAAAAACTTTTAACCTGTTGGTAACATAGATGGATTTGTTTGATTTTAGTATAGAATTATTATATTGAATAAACCGATGTTGAGTATTTTGATTAGTCATAATGTGAAGCATGCTTGAATTGGACTATGAAGTAAAAGTGATTAATTAACCTTGAAGTTTTATATCTGTTTGTACTTATTTTCATACATAAATGTAAGTTAGTTTAATAATTTATCAGTTCATTAACTTTTGTAAAATATGACAATTAATTAATTTATAGAATAGATAGTAGTATCAAATTTGTATGAACTGCTTAAGCTTTGAACTGTTTGTATGTACTAAACTTGGATTGTTTTAATGTAGTTTTAGTAATAATCAAATGTTTTATCTTTTTTATTTTTCATATTTATTCCTAGGTTGTTTTTGTGTGTATTCTAACCATCAAACTCTAGAATACATTCGTGAAAGTTTGGAAAAAACCCTACTATCAAATCTTGAACAGGAGGACAGGCTTCCTTTCCATGGATTGCCTATTGTTATCCTTTTTGCTGCTGATGCTAGTATAAATGAGAAAGATCTGACCTTTCTTCGTGAAGATGGGCAGAATAGAGCTAAAAGGTAGGCTACAATGAAGTGTTTGTTACCTACAAGATGTATATTGTGTGTATATGTTAATTACTACTCACTTCTCTTTTATAATTGGAAAAAAAAAGTGCTTAGAAAGTTAAAATGTAAATGAAACGAAGCATAGTATGAAAAAAAAAATTACAAAATAATGAGATAAGTGGATGTCTTTTAGGTGAAATGTGTCTAATTAGCATGTATGTTTGCAAGCTTGTTTCTCTGTCTAAATAAATGTGTACAGGCTTGGTCCATTGGACCAACCCTGTATTGGAGAGGGAATGTTGACTATAATATCGAACTTACTATGTGCATATATACAAAATGTGTCAAGCTTTGAGTAAAATGTACAAGTCGATTTTGCACAAAAAATCAGATATTTCACAAAAAAAAGTGTTTGTACTCAAGTTATGTCTGTAAATTGAAAGCGTCATTCTGACTCAGACTCTGAATGCAAGATGATGTTCACGTGAAGAATAAAAAATAATTATTTCCGTTGTACAGTTTGCATATTAAATTTGCCTAACCTCTAGAACCTCAGAAATGTGTATCTATCTAAATTTTTTTCAGTATTCCTGTAAATTGTATCAGGTACTTGCTCTACCATGAACTGTTGCTAAATCAGCAATGTAGGGTAAAATTAATAGTTGATAACTGTGACATCAAATATTAATACCATGTTGAATGGTACTCTGTAAAAGATTATGGAATGTGCACTTTGACCTCCACCTGTACACATTGAGTTAAAGGTTTTAGTTTATATTAGATTTTGTACTTTAAATGGTTAATAGCTAGAGGGAAAAAATTATTTTTAGCAACCAAAAGAAACATTTTTATTATCGGTTTCTGGAACTTGAATTTGATACTTTTATTTTATGGAGCATGAATCAAGTTTAGGAATCTCTTGTACTATCCATGATGAGAGACGTAATTTTGAGTTCCTATAAATTTTGTACTGTCAGGATGTGTTGTGGACATCATAAAAGCACATCTATTAAACCAGTGATTCTAAATACTTATACCTAATTAAAGAAATCAAGAAAGTGACTAATTTTAATTATGATGCTGCTTCCATTGGCAAAATAAACAACAAAAAACAATGAAACAACTGAAGACTTATAAAGAAACAGCATCATTCACTTATTTTGAAGGAATACAGTCAGCTGAACTAGTTCATTTAGGTTTAAATAGTTGCTGAAAATTGTGATTCCGTAATATAATTTGCTTATATGATACTATCATGGTGTTTAATGGTTCTAAAGTATGTTTCGTGTTGTTAATTAAAAGTAAAGTGAAATGAATTAAACCTTTGATATTTAATATATTTTAAATTACTGCAAAAGTTATGTGGGAATAAATAGCATATTTAAACTGTTAATTATGAAATTTTTAATAAATTTTGCTGTATTTCAAAGAAAGTCTGAGGTATATTTAAAGTAAGTTTCTGTAAACATGAGTACCTGTGAAGAATTGAGGTATTACATAAACTCTTTTTAATTCTGTAAAATTCAACATAAATATAGACTTGTTGTGAGGAGGGGAAATCTGCTATACACTTTAAATAAAAGTCCAGAGGTACAGTGTTTGAGTGGATTATTTATTTTAATTTTTTTCTATAACTTTCCTACAATGTTTTAGTCACTTGTGTGGTATCATCAGGTAACTGTTGTCTATTGTGTGAAATATTGCACGAGCATCAGTATTGTTTAACTTGTATTACTAATCAAGATTTACTAAATGTTTAAACAAATTTACGTTTATAAGTGCCAGTTCCTTTATTCTGGTTCTTTCTACTTGTTTTACTGAATTTTGTTCTTCTAGCCTACAATGTCCGTTTATTGATGTAAGTAATAGTGCCTCTGCTGCTGAGGAGCGGTTTGATGAATCCAAGCTTCTCAAGGCTTTACATTCCCTCATAGAAAGCATTCAGCGTCGAGCGGACTTGTTACAGATTTACCATACTCTTCCTGAACAGGTTGTCAACCCTGACATTAGGTAAGTCTGTTCTTTGTGTGAATGAATTACATTTTAAAACTGTAGTTATGTAATGTAGCTGTATAATTTTGTTAAATTCACAATATGTGGTTTATTTGTATTTTTGTATTTTTTTAAAATGCACAGAATTCTTTGTATAAGTATTTTCATTTGGACTTAATTATTTTTTACTTCTTGGATATTATTTTTCTTTAACTATTTCATCACAGGCTCTGTCTCTGGAACTGACCTTGTAACCATTTTGTGCTTGTTATAGTTTTCGTGCTATAACTTTTAAATTAGTAAGCTTATGTTAACGAAATTTGGGAGACTATCAGTGATCATTACAATGCTTTCATATGCAAAATATCTATTTTTTTTTTTTTTT